GGCTCATGTTCAGTTTTTTTTCATGTTCAGACTTGTCTGACTGCAGCCTGTCTTATCTCCACAGAAGAAGGACAATACAGCTCGTACCTGTGCAGTGGGAGGGAGCCCTGCATACAGGTTGTCTAACCCTATCTCACCCCAGGTTTTCTGCAGATGGATGTTCTGAGCCATACATGGGTTATACCTGGAAATATACACTTAGTTGGAAAATGGTTTTCAGGTCCAGAAGGCATTTTGGCAGAATTTTCATTAAAATTTATTTGGATAAACTGTGTCTCAAGCTATTTAACAGCTCCATATTCTCAGCTGTTGCCCTCAGGAAAGCTGTCTGTTCCAGTCATGACTATTTCATCATCAGCCTGGGTCTGCTGCCCAGTCACCCCTCAAGACTCTCTGACATCCTGAACATATCATTTAGGTCACCCTATGAGAACGTGAACTTCAGAGTAATAATTACCTCTCGTTTCTTCTGCCGATTGATGGTGTTACTGTGGTGTTTATTTGCCACCTGTTATTGTACGGTCGGGTTCAGTAATGATAATAGGTCATGGGCAGCTTTTGTCCTTTAATTGTAAGGCTTTGTCCATCCATGCATTATAACTTCTGACACCATAGCTATGCATTTTTATGTTGTATTGTTCCATCATCCACTATGGGGGAATCCCTGAAGAATAACAAACTCTTTCTGATGCCTGTTTTTGATATCTAACAACTATTTTCACACACATTTGAAAAAGCCTTGGAAAACCACTATATTAAAATAAGATTCTTACAAAATTGTAGAATAATTTAGGTTGGAAGGGATCTCTGGAGGTCATTTGGCCCATATCCCCAAATAAAAGCAGGCCTGACTTAAATCAGGCTGCACAGGGCCTTGTGAGGGCAAATTTTTATTATCTCCAAGGATGAAGTTCCATACGTTCATCAAGCAATCAGAGAAAACTCAGTCTTCCTGGGCAAACAAAATGGTATTGTAGTTGCAGGGCAAATCAGAAGAAGATGCAACAGGCTGAAGCAGCATTTATAAGTAGGGTATTTAGATTTTACCACTAGAAATAGTTCTTGCTGAAATAGAAGCTGTGATATTACAGAGTGAAGACATTCTGAACTGAAAGAATGCCTGGCTTGTATATGAGTATCTGAAAGTGTACATAAAATGTTGAATAACCTTATCTTCCTATATCTCTCTATAGTAGACTGAAATAAAGTCCACTGGAATAAAGTCCACTGGAAAGGATTAATCTTACCCTTAGGCAACTGTGCATCAATCATGGGAAGAGCCATTAAACTTCAGAGTTAGCATCGACATGCACAGCATCGTTAAAATACTAATTACAAGACTGCTAATTGTATAACTAATATCAGGGCTTAATTAGTATTATGAAACATTACATTCTGCATATAATACTGTGGTGCTTTTGACATATTTGGGATATTTCTTCTTCACTTTTCAGATTATTCTGCGAGTAAGTATGCAGTCATTGGAATGATGGAAGCCTTAGATTCGGAACTGTATCACACAGGGAAACAAGGCATTAAAACCACAATCATTTGCCCTTATTTTGTTAATACTCAATTAGCTAAAGGCATTCAAACCCAGTAAGTAAAACTTCGTTCGTGTACTATTTCATATGTAAAAAATAATCACTACTCACTAGATGTGCCATATGCAGTCTCTGGCTATTATAAGGTTGATTTGTTTTTCAGTTCAGTATTTTTGCCCCATTGCCACATACAACTATGTCTCTCGACATAAGAAATCCTGGTCTGGTGTACAATTAACAATTAATGTGCTACAGGGACTGTGTAATAACCTCACAGTCAAAGGACAGTTAGGGATGCACAACAGTATGTAAGGCAACTTTATTTGTCAGTAGAATGGTTTCTGTTTAGGTTCTGTGTCCCAAGTAATTTTGGCACTGCGATTACCATTACAGCTGTCAGGATACCTGTGACCCGTCATTATTAACCATGCCCTGCTCTCTGTATTAGCCAGTACTATACTTCTCAGAGTGAGAGTAGGTGTGGTAGTAGTAGCGGTGGCTGTATGGTTGTAGTGCTGGGAGAGCCTGCAGGCACCGAATTAGCCGTTGCAGTAGGGCAGTACCAGTGGTCTTGGTTTTTCAGTGCCCTGTTCTTGCTTCCACCATTCATCATCCTGTAGTAGCATATATCACGCAGAGCACAGCTTTTCTCCTGGCCGGAAACAGGCCTGGTCATGGTCTGTTTAGCTGCCACCTCAACATCTACAGTAGAAGAGGAGGAGGTGTTACAAAGGCGGAGCTCTTATCCATAGAACATTATGGGATTAGCTGGAAGTTTTCAATGCTGCGATTACTGTGGGCATTAACTTTATTAGGGTCTGAGCGGGGCTTGCACAAAAAGTTACTCATTAGTCATTAAAATGCACAATATCACCAAAGTGTGTTCAGTTTATGTTGATAGAAGGAACAAAGCGGATTGGAGACTCCTTTTCAAGACTACTTAAGGGGATGGGGGAAAATTTTTAATGATTTAATTAAATTATTTCTGTGTTAGAATGCATCTCAAAAGTAAAGTTCTTATAATTTCTTAATTTTTTGTTTCTTGTTTTGCCAGAAACCATATTCTTCCTGTTTATGAACCAGGATACGTAGCCAGTAAGATCATGGATGCAATTCAAAAGGAAAAGTTTTATCTAACCATGCCTGTGATTTTACGCATTCTTGCTTTCAGACTGTAAGTATGTGACTCGTCTTCTAGCATTGCCTCCTTTCCTTCACCATATACCTGCAAATTCACGGGAAAGTTTAGTAAAAACAGTCCTTTAGTTAGTATTTCTGTAGTCCGTCCAGTTGTATATGCCCAATTATGAGGAAACAGTGGTTTTTTAAATTTTTAATAATCTAGGTCAATAGCATTCCTCTGGCCACTTCAGTCTCTAATACACACATGTAAGCTACAGTTGGGTATAGAAAATTTCAAAATTTTCCTGGGATGGTACACTGGGCATAATGACTGGACTAGAACTCTCTGCTTCTAGTAACAGCCTCCATCACTGGCTGGGCTTTCACACAATGGCTTGGCCTGTCATTCATTTCCTACATTCATAACATGGGAGCACAAAGCATGTTATTGCCAGATGTTAGAAGTATCGAGCACATACAATGAATTTATCATTTATTTATTCATAGAGTATATTTTTTCTAAAAAAAACCCCATAACGCTAACTCAGTGTTTGTCTCGTCAGTCTCATTCCTAGAAAAATGGTACTATTCTTCGAATCTTGCCTGAAGATCCCCAACAGCTTGGATAAAGCCTTCGGTCGGAAGAAAAAGGATTGAAACCAAAATATTCTGAAGACCTGGAGTGCCATCTAATTGAGAATTTCCTGTATAAAATTAATTTTGAATCATGTCTATTCTTTGACGGAAAATTTGCTTCTTGTATGATATTTGACATTGGTCAGCAAGCAATTTAATTCTTCATAACTGTCTTTTAATCACTAATTTTTAGCCTCAATCCTCTCTCTCATCTCATGATGGCATGCTGCTTTTCTCTGAGTTCTCAATAAAAGTCAGTAACACCAGGCAGGGAGGTTTGACTTTATTCTGTACTCTGAATTCTAACTTTCTGAGCAAAGCCTCAAAGCATGGGAAAAATGCACTACCATTCATGCAGAAAGAAAAAAAAAGCACAGTGTGTTAAACACATTTCCCTTTCAGGGCTAAAACAGCACCGCAGTTCACATGAAGCTGGCACAACGAAGGGCGCTGTGCGATGATGTGATCTGGCTGGCAAGCTGCACGGGCAGCCTGTGTCTTAAGAGGAATGAACGGCAAAGAGTGGCTGATAATGTGTGGGCAGTGCTGGGCTGCTTACCACGATCCTCGTTCGTCACAGCGCACTTTTGTAAACACAATTCCATGCGAAGTGTGTGCCTCTGTTTTAATTCAGGGCTAGAGGCTGATACCAGATCATTTATCAAAGGCTGTGGCTCAAAAAGAACACTTGTAAACTTGCAGCAGTGGCAAAAAATCATGTGCCTACTCAAAAAAGGAAAGATGATGAAGCCCCACAACCAGCTGAAGCAGACGGGGAAAACGTCCTTTATAGAAATCACTTATCTGGGAATTAATTGCCTCTATACATTTTGCAAAATGTTCCTGCAACACACGAGTCGGAGTTAATGGACGCGGCTCCGCGGTGACTCTGTAGGCAGCTGTATGGGGAACACTGGTGAAGTCCATAGGGATCTGACTCCCTTCTCTTACCCTATAGGCACCTGTGTGACTTGGAAGCCCCCTGCTGAGGCCAGATAATTGGCTTTAGGTGTTGTGTCCCAGGTTAGGTCCCTGATGTCAGCAACTGCATCTGGACCTGCAAACTGGTCCACACAGTTATCTTTCGTTTCAGTGACCTTAGTAAATTTACGTAGAAAATTGTTGACTTGAGAGTATTATGAGGAATCTGTGCAAGAAATCCTTGTTTGACAGTTTTCTGAAAAAAAATCATTACAATTTAAAATTACAAAGGTATTATGTTAAGTGACCTAGAAACAACTTTGCAAGGAACGTAATGTGTTCAGAGACTGACTTTTCAGTGAGGTAGGCTGTCTGTTAGTGTGAAACACAACTCTGCTGTAAATCATGGGAAAAGAAACAGAGACAGGAGGAATACCTCGGGTATTCTTGGACAATTACGGGATGGCTCATAGGCAAAAATCTCTTCTTACATTTGGAGAGAAGTCACATCGACCTCCCTCAACTGTATCTAAATGGAATTGTAACCTAAAGGTCCTAAAGGAAAAAATCTCCCCAGAAGTAGAAGTTCATAGATTGGTGATGGAAGTGTGTGCTGGTACTTAATTGATAAAGAGCAATCCTCACATACATTTTCAGAAAATGCTAATATAAAGCATTCATTAATTTAAAATTAAATAAACAAATTTCAGACCAGAATAGGAAATCTACAAAGCCTAGTTTATACAACTCCACTGTAAAGGATGAAAGAGAACCTTGAACAGTCATCTATTTCCCACATCTGTCATATTGTACTTTATTAACCCCGTACTTAAAAGCTCCCTTCCAGTTACAAATGCCTGTAAGAGTCCACACTCAAATTAAAAAACAATTTTTTTTAAATCGCAGTGTTTTCAAAGTACACATACATTCAGTGAACTTTTTTAGGTACCCTGTAGATATTACTGGGAAAATTTTAGCTGAGAAGGAGAAAGCCACCTGAAATTTGGCTCTTTGGAAAGCAAAGTTTATTGGTTTATATTTTGAAAAACTCTCCAGGTGAGCAGTAATTGAAATATGTTTTTCTTCCTACTAATGAGCCAGGAACAAAGTCTAAATTGATCCCTGCAAATAATGATTTTTTTCTCAACTGCAAACAAATATGTTGAATATTAGGGTTCCCCTATTCTGCATGGTGTTGCAATTTGGCTCTAGATCTATGACCCATTGTGTTTAAGTGTGGCTACAGGAGACTATACAAATTGGCAAGACATTATATTTGTGGATGCCTTGTGGGCCTGAATATGCTTAAGCCATAATATCATTGCTTGTGCTGTGGAGCTTATGAACAGGGCTCACGGTGCAAAATAAGTACATTTTAAAATGCATTATAAAATGATGCTCCCATTTGAATAGTTACCTGTTAACATTAAGATTTGGTGGAGTAGCCATCATTAAAAATCTGGTACATCAGGATGAAATATTTGCATCCAAAGAGCACATCATAAGGGATCTTCTTTCAGCACCTTGTTTGTTTGTTTGTTTCTTTAACTAAAATATGCCAACCTTACCACCAACCTTTGCAGTTGTAAGTATACGCAGAACATGAGAAGACTAAGAATGATATAAAGGAAACAATATTTTATTTTCTAAGGCATATTTCACCTACTCTGCATAAGCACCCTGCAGAGCCTTATTCTGTACTGCTGCAGCCTCAGCCAAGGGCGCTCTTTGGCTCCATTTCTCCTGGCTAATCTGCTTGTCTCGAGAAGGAATTTGTAAATCTTATGCTTTCTAAGTCTCACGGTGCGCTGGTTCCTAGAAATCAAGAATTCATACTTTTCCATGAAAACACCAGCAAAATATTTATTTTTTTATTTTTACAAAAGAAAAGAAGTGTGATGGATACTGTAACAGAATCCTAAAACTGTAAGCCAAGACCTTCTTATTTAAGTTCAGAAGAGGTGATGCTGTTCCTGTTTTTTAGTATAAAAATAGCCATTGTGTTTTGAAATACAGTGTGCCAGTTAAGAAGTATCTCAGAGTTACTAACAACTCCTGGGACATGTGTGCTTTAGTTCTTGGAGGCTTTCATCTTACTCACGATATGCGGCACCCAGTGACTCCTGAAGTGCCGGAGCATGAAGGAGAGAGAGGCTCACTGTTTAAGTCCACAGGCTGGGTGGCTCAGCGCAGCTTAGTTCCTGCCCCACGTGAATCACCTCTAGAGGAAGAGTGAGGTTAAAGCATCTGCAGAAAACAGAGAATGTTGTACAACGTATGATCATGGACATACCATGTGCAGTAGCTTTCTAGGCTCTGACCTTACATGTCTGCAGCTCTTTCTGGATAACTAATGCTCCGTCACAGCCAAATCAGAACAACCATCTGAAGCACACAGCTGTGGTGGACAGCCATTGCGTGGAGGTGGATATATGTTACAGACTTTCCCCTAGGTTTTTTTAATTCTCTTTTTATGCAAGAGAAACATTTCCGCACAATCAAATTCATTTTATATTGCCTATAAATCATTGCTGCAGTACCTCATATTTGCTCAAATTCCTCATTTGTATACTTAAGCATTTAATAACTTAGATGCCAAGATGCAATTTGCAACATATCATAGAAGCAACCAGTCTTTCCCAGAAATTCTTATGCCTTGGTTTGTTTAATCACCTGAATTCACATTGTCTCATTAAATTATAAAACATTCCCAGAACAGCCTCAGGCTTTCCCAAGGCCTGATCACCCTCCATAAATATCAGCTTGGAAAACTCATAAATTCATTTTATATTGCCTATAAATCATTGCTGCAGTACCTCATATTTGCTCAAATTCCTCATTTGTATACTTAAGCATTTAATAACTTAGATGCCAAGATGCAATTTGCAACATATCATAGAAGCAACCAGTCTTTCCCAGAAATTCTTATGCCTTGGTTTGTTTAATCACCTGAATTCACATTGTCTCATTAAATTATAAAACATTCCCAGAACAGCCTCAGGCTTTCCCAAGGCCTGATCACCCTCCATAAATATCAGCTTGGAAAACTATCTTAAGTTACCTAATGAGTTTGTTTGGATCCCAGTTTTTAAGAGTGAAACCAATCTGAAAAAGTAAATGAATAGTGCAGTGAAAGAGAAGACAGAGGGAAACAGTTGGGAAAAGACAGCATAACCCAGGGCCAGTCTGAAGAGCTTTGTGTGCAAGGTGTCCCTTGAACACCATCAACATACCGGTTGCTTGCAGGAAACCCAGCCAAAGGTCTCAGGATAGCAGACACGGACAATCCGTTTCCATCAGATGCTCCCAGCCTGCACAAAGGCTAGAGATGCATTTGCACACAGACCAGAGCAGCACGCTTAAGGATTTGAATATGTTGTTCACTGTGGGGAAGGTTCCCATTAATTTCACTTGGTGTTGAAACACATGCTACGTGTTCCTACATGTTACGAGTTCCCAGTGTCACCTTACTCTCCTGCTTTATCAAGTAATTCTGAAATTGGGGAATCTACTGCAAGATTGCCTGGAGTGGGAGAAATAAAGGAAATCATTTTAGTAGGACAGCTCTTATAAAAAGACACTCTAGATACTCAAAGCTAATTTGAGGCTACTTTTACGTACTAATTCATAGTGAAGAAATGTATTCTCAAATCCTGCGATTTTTTAAGTATTGTTCATTAGTAACTTGCATCTTCATCTTGGCCTCCGTGTGGAAAAATGTTTGTTTAGTTCACACTTCCCACAAGCAGTGGGACAATTGTGGAGGAATAGACTTGGAGCTGGAAGTCAAGAAATTCCCTGGTCTTCTGTTACTACTGTTGTCTTTGATGAAAAAGTTCAATCCTGCTGTTCCAATATCCTTATCTGTACCCTGGGAAACACAAAAAATAGTCAAAGTGGCATAAAGTATGTGTAAACGTACTGTCCCTGGTTTTCGCTATTACAAGTTGTGGACAAGGAGGCTTCATGCTTACACAATTTTTCAGGCTTACTAAAATAGGATCTTCATCTCTTTATTTCTACACCTAGAAAAATGTTATTTTCTTCTATGTTTTCTCATGATTTTCAATACTTCGTATAATTTCATGAGATAGAAAGGC